TCACGACCTCTGGCTTCTTCCTACCATCTACCACAACCTTCGGCACCTCCCTCAGCACCTCCTCTCACTGCCACTGCACCTTGTCTCACCTCCTATCGTTGTGAGCTCCTCCTACTGCAGACCTCTCACCACTCAGTTCATCTTCTCAAACGACTCTTTTACACCTCCTCCAATTATCTTCGGTATTAGTAATAGTTACGTGTCTATTTCATGCTTAGAATCTCTTTAAATCATCAAATATGCACATTTAGATATTCTAAATATTCTTTAATTTTTTAAATATTTATACATATCTAAATTAGACCGCTATTTGACATTACGCTTTTTAGTGTTATTTTGCCGCAATAACCCCAAATAGCCTTAGCGGTGATTGACTGCTACGCAACGCTATTCGTTATCAATAACCTTGGTAGAATCTAACCCATAACTGATCCATTTCCATATGTAGATCTCACGCTAACGATCTGTTTTCATTCTTATCAGTTCCTGCATCTACTTTTATAGACTACGTAAACAAAAGCAAGATGCAAATGACCATGACAGAGGTGCACAAACGGGACATCTATGGAAAGGAAGAATTCAATAAAATCTAACAAGATACTGGAATATAGATAATAGCAGAAGAGTATATTATGTTAAAATAGTGTATGAAGTTATAATTCCAAAGCAAGGCCAAACTCACATGCGGTATCTTGACACGTCAGCGGTCTATCCTCTCTGACCCTTTTTGTCACTTTCAGCAATTTGCTAACATCAAAGTCTGCTACTTTTAGATGCCCAGAATCGTCCCTCAATATGTTTCTGTTATCTTACAATAGGCAAGATAAAGATGTGCAAATAGCTTGAGAAAATTCAAGCAACTAATAGAAGTAATCGTGAGAACAGAGTCGGTAGGACTTAAAAAAAACATATGATAGACATAATCACTTACGAAGGCTCAAGATCACGGTGAATAATTGCCTCTGGTTTACGGTCATGCAAATAATTCATACCTCTGGAATTGAACAAAATTTGAAGTTACTTTTAGAAATGAGACATAAAGTTATTCTATGTTCAGATATATAAAAGAGTAGACAGAAAAAAATATAACAAACAAATATTTATAAATAGGAATGTTAAAATCCCATGATTATTCATTGATAGATAAATATTGAGTTTTTATATGGAAATCACCTTTAAAATAGTGGTGTAATATAGGAACCATATTTATTGTTTAATTTATATAGTAACCACCTTTAAAGTATATTTCATTTCAATCAACAACCAAAATCCATTTCCTGTTAACTTTTTAATTAAAATTGCTTTAATACCCCTCTTTTTACTCTCTCTCTCTCTCTCTCTCTCTCTCTCTCTCTCTCTCTCCCATCTCTCTAAGGGCCACAGATCTCAGCGTCAAACTGGGGTCCACATATCGGCTAGCACGCAGGTGGCATGGGCGTGGGTGCTGTAGTGGCCAACAACATATCTCGATTAGTTCTCTCTCTTTGCGGCTCGGCCCCAATCTCACCGTGAATCCGTCGGGATCCATCGTGGGCAACGCCTGTGCCACCGGCTGATACCTATCGGCCTTAGAGAGATTGGGAGAGAGAGAGAGGGGAGAGAGAGGGGAGAGTGTGTGTGAGAAGAGAGGTATTATAGGAATTTTGACAAAAAAAAATCAACAGGAAATGAGTTTTAGTGGTTGATTGAAACGAAAAATATTTTAAAGGGGTTCCTGTATAAGTTAAACAATAAGGGTGGTTCCCGTATTACACCCCTATTTTAAAGGTGGTTTCCATATGAAATCCCATAAATATTTTACTATTGATTTTACGGTGTATGTTTGATTCAAAGGAATGTCAACATCAACATTATGTTACCTGGCAATATCAAGTGCAAACCGGACTGCCTTCGATGGGTGCAAGGCTCCCTTTTGTTTCAAGAAAGCACGAAGATCACCCTGCATTACATGCTGACGGGTTCAATTACATATTTTAAATGTTAAATATAAACCGCAAGAGGTCAAACCAAAAGTTGAAATAAGAAATCTGCGTTCTATTCCTTGAAATTCGATTGTAAGTTCACTTTCAGATGGAAATGGCATCAATACTATGTTATCACATGTATTGCAAAAGGAACAAGAAATTAGTAAAAGAGATAAATAAGAAAACTAACCTAAATACATATACAGTATATTCTATTAGCATGCACTTCACAATAAGCATCTTTCAAATGACAACAGAAAAGTAGTAAAAACAATTAACTCTGATGTTACCATATATATGAAGCTAGCAAAAGAGGCTTCAGGAAAGAAAAGCATCAACAAATTTCCCAAATGGTTTCTAAAAGAAAATGGTTGCAATTTGCCAAGAACTAATTAAGAGCATATTCCATTTTTCACATCACAAAATTAGACTATCATTTCACTTCCATCAATCGGCATCCCGCAAGAGCGTGGTTCATTTCAAGACAACCAAATAGGAGTGAGTATATCTAAATGCATGAACTCCAAATCTGCCGGTCACCTCTGGAGTAAGTCAGTTTAGAATCTGTATAAAGGTTGAGTCTAGGAAGAAAAGAATACGACAGAATTTACTGATATAACCACGGACAGAGGTAGAACTTTTTGGTCAGGTAAGGCACTAACACAGTGAGAAGCAAGAGCAGGACTTTTGTTCAGGAACCATCAATTTATTTACTTAACTATTTGTACGAATAAATTTAAAGTTTTTAGCTATATTTTCACATTTCAAGATTTTTTTTCTTAAGCAGTAGTTTGTGAAGTTAATATCCATATATTTATAATTTATTGCACCAAGCTCGTATATTAAGAAAAAAGCCTATAACTAAAATGATCAATTTGTACCAATATTTATAGTAGTTTATTAAATTAAAGTAGATTCTAATCTTTTTTTCTCTAGAGAATATAAAATGGCCATTCATGGGATGGGCTAAAAGTAGGCATTACTAAGGTTTAAACAAATGTCAGGTTGGGCAGTGCCCAACTTGAGATGGCTTCGGCTCTGCCCCTGGATATAGCATACACAAGAAAGAGTGAGACAGTTGACAGGATACCCATCACAAAGGAACAAAAGTGCTTTTAAAACACTACATGAGATACAATACATAAAGAAGGAAACTTTTATTAAAGTGCTAGCTATCAGACAGAGATGTCTCAACTTAAGAAGCAATCTGTTCAAAACATTGTAGATGAAATGAGAATGTTGAGATGTTTACACGGCAATAAAATTTGAGGCAGCTTAATTAGGGATAAGATGGAAAATAAATATTGGCAAGGGTTTAGCACTGGGCAAAAGAGACCAATGAGTCTAGTAGCTAAGAGAAGCAATATTAGTAGTTAGTCGAGAAAGAAGGACTGGAGTTAGACCTAACAGGCAAGTAGGAAGACCATTAAAAGGATATGCAAACTGTCAACTGGAAGAGAGAAGACAGTCATATGAAGCGCTGAATAGAGGAAAAAATTTATATGTAACCAGTCCTAAATATTTTGAATAATGGCATTATTGTTTGCCTTATTGGTGTACTCAAGCAAGAGTAAATACATGCCCAGCGTTTTAACTTTCAATAATGAAAATAAAGATCAGGTTATCAGGTAATAGCTGGTTGAAGGTAGTATCTAGGTTACAGCTACATAAACTTTGATAAACAGATAGAAGAGATCAGTCATAAACTATTGATCCTTCTAGATTCCCACGCAGTAAAGAAAATAGTAAGCAACTGAAGTATAACATGAATCAGAAATGAATTAAAGATAAAGCAGAATAAATATCCAAAATAAGCAGAAACCTTGGGCAAATATTCAGTCACAATCATCATAGGACTACTTTGAGTGACAGCACCCAGGAATTGGACAACATTAGGATGGCGTATCCTCTGAAGCAATGCAAGTTCATCCCTAAATGCCCTTCTGGAAAAAAACAACAAAAAAAAAAGTTAGAACTAATGACCAAATAGAACCAGCCGAACAGAAGAAAAACATAGTGTCACCATCTAGACTTTATACTAAGAAGAAAGGATCATATTTTGTCGACACTAAAGGACCAACCCACACTTTATCCTCATCTGTGATCACATTGTCTCCAAAAGTTTTCACAGCAACTTCTGATCCACGCCATGTTGCCACACGAAATGTTCCCTGAAGAAAACATTTAACAATAAGATACCAATATAAGAGTTAACCTAACATGACATGCAGAACCAAAGTTCAAACTTCAAACGTATTCATAGGGGACCATTAACATAACAGAGTAAAAAGAAGGATATGTTGCAGGAAACACCTCTTAAAGACACTGAAACACTAAGAGATCATCAAGGAATATGATCCCTTCTTTCACAAACACCTGCAGAAATAAATCAGAAACGAGAAAAGGAAATGGAAAAAAAAACTAGGTCCTATGAGATGTACCTTTTAACTAGAAAATATATAGAAAAGCAGTATAAACTAAAATTAAAGTAATTTTTCAAAGTTCAAACTCTATCCTTCACACATACTGCTATATAAATTTTGAAGCAAATGTTTCACATGAGTGTTAAGTGTCGTGTTTTGATGATGATTTACAAACCTCATTATTGGTACTAATTGCTTGTCAAGTGATCCTACGCAGGACGTGTTTATCAAGCAATATAATGTCTATTGGAGGATGGATGGATTCGCGCCTTAACGATGATATCCGTGGAGGTAGAGGAAATTTGATGAAGAAGCCCTAAAATGCTCAAAGATCGACTCACGCGAATATCAAATAAAGAAGAGCTTTCAAACATATATTCAAGAAGAGCTTCATCAACAAAACTTAGCAAATATCGACACTCAAGCTTTATATACTATTGTAAGCGATATTTGCATTTTTACTTCTCTCTAGATCAAAATGTAGTCAAGCAATAAAGTTGATAACTTTTGAAGCATTAGGGGATTACACACACATTTCAAAATTAGTATTTTTGACAGTTTTTACAAAATAATGAGTTTTCACAAATGGGAAATGCTATTTTAGAAATTTCTCTTCTAAAATGTTTATTTTCATAATCTTTTTCCCAAGTTTTACTATTTTTGGAGTTGATTTACTATTTTGAAATGAATTTAGAAAATCAACTCTTCAAGAAAAAACAAGTACTGCTTGTGCATGTTTTTTGGTCGACCGAACAGTTGAACCGGTCGACTGAACAGGAGCAATTTTTACAGCTTTTCATTTTACAATCTATCAGTCGACTGACATATAAAATCAATCGACCGAACACAGTGTTTTCAGTCGACCGATATTTTTGACCAGTCGACCAATAGTGTTATCATTAGCCTGTAAGTTTTACAGTCGTACTGGTCAGTCGACTGATTCGATTGATCAATCGACTGATTCGATTGATCAGTCGACCGACGCGATGTAACGGTTAGTTTTTCAGATTTCAAATTTTATGGGATTTGTTTTGATTTTTGGATTTTCTTTGGATTTGTGCTGATATTTAAGAGACTATAAATAGTCCTCAGGTCTCACTTGTTAAGTATCTAAGAGAACTAAGCAAAACTTGAGGTTTTCATTTTTGAGCCTTACAAGCTTAATCTTCTACTCTTTCTCAAACTTTTCTTGTTTGGGTTTTCACTTTCATATACTCACAAATCCCTGAGCTTCAAATTGTTTATCTCTTCATCCTTGTCATATGATTGTTGTAAGAGAGACATGTTTTCTTCATCTTGTATTGTGTGGTATTGTGTGAAGAGCTAGATCTCGAGGAGATCATTGTGTGGAGAGTTCGATCTCAGGGAGATCATTATGTAGAAGTTCCGGCTTTCAAACCGGATTGTGTAGTGGATTACCATCGGGAGAGGTGGTCGGGGGCGTAGGTCGAGAGTGGTCAAACCTCGTGAACATATCATCGTCTTCATTGGCTAACTATCTCTCACTCTCTCTTTTAATTATTGCTTTATTATTATATTTTGTATCTTAAATTTCATTACATTTTCATTAGTTGCACATTATTGTTTGATTATCCTATTCACCCCCCCCCCCCCCCCCCCCCTCTAGGGTGCTTTCAAGGAGATACTTCATATTGACTTTCACTAATTACCCCCGGATGCAACTCTATTATAAAACAGAATATTATAGAACAGAATACAGGGCCTCTCTAGGAAATAGCACTTTGAAATTTTTGATCAATCAGATGAAAAATATAACATCAAAGGAAGCATTAATCTAAAATCTTTGTGAACAATCTTCACCTAAGATATGAGAGATTATTGCTTCTTTGAGCGACCAGATAAAACACTCAAATTTAAAAAAAAAGATGGATTAACATTTGTAGAGAGAGCATTGTAATGATTTTTCAAGAAAAGTTTATATGAGATGGGAGAGTATTCTTTTATGAAAGTTCTCCATATGTGGAGATAATAGAAAATAGTTGTTTGTTTGGACAATTACATCAAATTACCAACTCATCAATAACGAAATTTGATCCAAGGTACGTTTAAAAAAGGCTTCACAATGAAGTCAACATGAATGCACAAAACACACTAAACATTTTATGTACAAAAAAATATGTATAAAAATCTAGAGTAAGAATTATGTATACTAGCTACTTGAGCAGAATCATTTATCGTTGCCAGTACATAAACATAAAAGTGCATGCTCTAACAGCTCAAAAAAGGATTATTTTCAGCATTTTATATTTATTTTTATAAAAGTCCAGTTGACATTTTATGTACAAGAAAATATGTATAAAAATCTAGACAGTAAAAATTATGCACCCTAGCTACTTGAGCAGGATCATTTCTAGCTTAAAGCACATAAACAGAAAAGATTATGCTCTAACAGCTCAAAATATGATTACTTCCAAAGCACAAAAAACAATAAGTACCTTGGTAATTTGAACACTGTTGCTGAAATCAAGTTCACTGGGGTTGATCTCATATTCTGGGATTTCACGTGCATTATTCACATGCATTGGAGCAATCTATGAAATATGCAAATCAAAGACAAATATATCAAACAGTGTTCAACCATCTTTATCGAACATAAATAAAATTATCATGCCATACCTTAAGTTTAGCACCATATTTTTCCAACAGTTTAATCACCTCATGGTTCTTGTAGTGTATTGCATCTGCAAGAGGCTGTTGTAACAAAACATAAGAACTTACATTGAATGTTGCCAATATGATTCAGTCAGAAATTGCCAAAACCTCAAAGTAGTAAAATGAATTTATTAGCTCAGAAATATTGTTTTCTTAATATTAATTAATTAGCTATGTTTTCTTCTTCAATAATTGGCGGGTTAACAATTAACGAAATTCGTTACAAGAGAAAACATCATAAATTGCCAAGATGAAATTTCTTTCAAAGATTTCCTTAATTCTGTTGAATGGACTTCTATTGCACCCAAAGCTGAAAAAATAGACAGATTACATTAATGGCTAACCCCGCATCCTTCACACAATGGATATCATGATCTGGTATAACCGCTTAATCCAAACATTTTGGCACTTAGGGGTCTGTGTTGACTGGGATAGATTGGCAGCTTGAAGAAAAAAATACATTTTCAGAAACAATTAGCCAACAGCTAACCTTAGGCCTAGAACTGGCTTAAGGAAGAAAATGAAATACAATGATTTTTACTCAAGTAGCTTAACGAATTTTAACGAAAGCTTAAATATTTACTGGCATTTAGATGCTGCCACTTTCTCCATTGTGCATGTAGTTAAGTTTTCAATGATTTGAAATCCATTGCTAAGGAAAGGACACAAACCCATATTGAACATGTGTCAAATACTTGGATATTCATATACTTTATGGATACTTATTGAATACGCTTTTTAATGTAATCTAATTTATGTGACCTATACATCAAACAGATATCTTAGACTAAAAATTTAATAACTCTGATGCAAGGGTGATAGACTGATAGTTCACAATTTCATTTGATCTATGTGTGGTTCTACTGGACCACTTTAACAAAAGAATTATGACATTCAGATAACTACTGACTTGTTTGAAAATATTTTATAATATCTATGTTTATTGTTTCTTTAACTTCTAAGTTCTAACTTTATAAATTCATGCTACATATAGACATGCATAAATTCAAGCAAGAGATAAAAATTAATGTGCAGCACACACAGACTAGGAACAAATTATTATATTGTATCCACGGGCCACGGCGTAACTATATCCTAAGATTTCTAGGATATTTTGTATTTTCATCCTTGTTTCGTGTTGTCTATACCCATACCCATGTGTTGAAATATACCAGGAACATTTAATATGTATATAGTGCGGTCGACAAGTCAAAGCAACAAGATAACAAGGATGGAAACAGGGTGATGCATATCAGAAGCAATATAGCCTGCTAGCCTATGTTGCCTAGGTACGGGTACGGGTGTGGGTGTGGGTACGGGTACGGGTACTGGTACGGGACACGGCAAATTTGTAAAAAGTAGGGTACGGGGACACGGCTATATATATATATATAAAATAATTTAATTTAGATCAATATTGAATTAAATACCTATTATATTTTTATATTTTTGTTATGTAAAGTGGAGATTATAAATAAGAAACTATAGTAATTAGTAACTATTTAAATAGATATCTTAACAATTGAATTAACTATATTAATTTGTAGATGAGTTTGCAAGAGGACATTTATGCAACAAAAGAAAATAGTAACTATAATAACATATTTGTATTTGTTAAGGGGCTTGCTGCAAAAAAAGAATTGATGAGGGGTTTATGGAAATATTAGCACATAGTATATAAAGGAAAAAAAAAGAAGATCAACTTCTCCCAGCCCTAATTCTTCCGCCGCCCTTTATCTCCTCTTCGTTCTCTCCCATTCGTTCTCTCCCAGCCCTAATTCTTCCGCCGCTCTTTATCTCCTCTTCGTTCTCTCGAGAAAAAATGCATGATGGCTGGAAGAGGGCGCATGGAACCAGCCCCAACTTTCGTCGTCGAGGAAAAAGGAGAAAAAGGAGAGGCGCTGATCTTGTCGTCGAGGAAAAAGGAGAAAAAGGAGAAACAACAAAAACAAAACCCTAAAAATCAAACCTGTCTTCGAGCAGAGGCGCTGATCTCGTCGTCGAGGCGCTGATTCGTCGTCGAGGAGCTGATTTCGTCGTCGAGGCACTGCAATTGACCCGACGCCTTGAGATCTAGAATCCGTCGTCGCGTCCGTTGATGAGTTATAAGGTTCGTAACTTTTTTTCAAGTTCGCAATTTTCCCCCCCTCATTCTTGTGAAATCGCCGTGTCCCTGCCGTTTGGGTGCGGATCCGCACCCAAAACGTACCCGACACGGGTACGGGACTTAGTTTGCCGTGTCGGGGTAACATAGCTGCTAGCCCTCATTCTACACTGTAGATCCTAGAAACCCCTATGTTAAATGACTCTGGGGTACACCAGGAAATAGAAAGATGCATTTCTTGATATTATCAAATTTCAAAAGATGGCTACAAAAGGAAATAAAACACCTTTCTATATTTAGGCCAACAAAAAATCCAACTATAACAAAGAACCTTAGTACATATAATAAAGCAAATATAAAATAAAAAAAGAAAACCAAATATAAACTTTGGATGGCCAAAACACTTTTCAAATTATGAAACATTATGATGTGACCAGCTGCTCCGTCAAATGGAGGTTTTTTATTCATATATGGAAGTGTTGCCTCTTGATAAGTTGTTTGTCCCATAACCCTTCCGGATCAAAATTTATGGCCTTACAAAATTTACCAAAAAACATATTTAATTCAGTGATGCCAAGACAATTTCATTGGCTTCTAGTCAACCAGTTGCTCTAGAAATCATCCAAGACCTCTGCTACATTTTAATTTTGGAAGTAATCAAGTGCATGATGTGCACGCAAGCTTTTTTGGCTTAATAACAGACTAGTATTAGATTATGTACACAATTAGTTAGAATTAAATAGCTTGATCAAGTATTCTGCTCAGTATTTAATAAAAATCTAGGGTTTTTGTATATGTATACCTCTTAAATCATGTGTATTTGCACAGTTATCCCAAATCTCTGCATTTGTAAAACTACCCCATATCATCAACTTTGGTAGAAGATACCCCCTATCAACTTTGTTCAGTAAATATTTGACTATTTGTTGATATTTCTAAATTACAATTACGAATTAACCTATAAAAGTGGATGATTAGTAAAAGACCCAAGAAAACTGCAATGTCGCCGTCATGTCCTTACGGCTTGCTTGCAACTAGGAAGGCTAAAAATCTTTGTAAGGGATTCAAGAAACTCACCCCTAAAAACTAATGGTCTGTTTGGGTGGAGGGTAAAGAGGGGGAGGGGAAGAGAAATCTAATTGTAATCTTGTTTGGGAGTTCCATTTAGGAGGGTAGAGGAGGAGAATAGGGGGGAAATTTGAGCTAAAATCTTAGTAATGAAGGGGAAGGTTAGGAACCTTCCCCTTCCTTCCCTTCCCTAATGGCCTATTTAGATGGAGGGTAGAGAGGGGGAGGGGAAGAGAAATCTAATTTTAATCTTGTTTGGGAGTTCCATTTAGGAGGGTAGAGGAAGGGAATAAGAGGGAAATTTGAGCCAAAATCTTACTAATGTGTAATGAAGGGGAAGTTCCCCTTCCTTCCCTTCCCTAAGTCATCTCCCAACCACACTGTAGGGTTGAGGGAGGGAAACCCAAATTTACTACAAACCGCAGTTGATTTCTCATTTAGTCAACACGGGACTAAATAGTTTCTAACATGTACAATGCAAGGCCAACAATGAATAACCCCGTAAAAATCCAATCTTTCCCCGAAAGGCCCTCAAGTTTCCATTTTTCCATTAATTCATATCCAAACAAGTCACATAAGCCACCCCAACTATGAGAAAATTCAATCTACAATTAGTTCTTTTTTTTTTGAAAACACCCAAATATAAATCCAAACCAACAAACAAGAAAATTACCGTACTGCCCCACTGATCCTCAATATCAACGTTCGCCCCCTTCGCCAGCAAAATCTCCACAACATCCGGCCGCCCCTGGCAAGCCGCCACGTGGAGCGCCGTCCGGCCGTCGATATCCCTAAAATTCACATCAACTCCCGACTCCAGCAGCTCTCGAATCCCCTCTACATCCCCCTCGTTCGCTAAGTACATCAGCCTGATATTCCCGCCAATTTCCTCCGGCACGCCGGCCGGTAAGTCGATTTCGGACGGATCCCGCCCGCCGCCGTCGCGATCCGGCGCGAGGGAGGACTGCTTGCCGAGCTTGAAGCGTCCCGTTGACATTGAATCCGTTCCTTGACGTAAAGATTGGATCTTGGGGGTTTTAAGATATCTAGGGGTTTTCTTTTCTTTTCTTTTCTTTTCTTTTTCTCTTTCTGGAAGATAGAATGGAAAGCGACGAATACTTAAGACAGTAGGAAAGAGAAGGAGCTTGTTGGGAGTTATGAGGGGGTCCAGCTGTCAGTTGAGCGTGTGGGACCCGCGTGAGCTGTGAGTTGTGCGATAAGAATTTGTGAAAGGACTTTAGACCTGTTTCTGGTCAAGCTTGTTTTAACTTTTCCGAATTTTTTTTATTTCATTCTTTTTGAAGAGTGGAATGCAATAAAAAGTTATTCTCTAAATTGATAAAATAGGAAATTAATTATTTATATAACTAATGGTTAGTTTGGTATTTGAAATAGGATTAAATAAGGAAAATTCTTTAAGGACCCAAAATATGGGACTTAGGGAGACAAGTGAGGTGTCCCCCTCCTATTGGATAATAAGTTGGTCATCATTAATGATGATTAACTCATTATCCAATAGGAGGGGGACATCTCACTTGTCCTCCATATTGGTCTCATTAATGATGATTAACTCATCAATGGTCACATATACCAATACAATCAAACGACATAGATCAATCATGGATATGCAGCATGAAAATTACATGCAATGTGATCAGTACATGTCTATTTTCAACTGGCCCTACTTTAGTGAGATCAAAACAAAACATAATGTAACAGAGTGTTTGAACTGAAAAAAAAACTTTATTCTGATCAGACAATACAACCTAACATAAAGCACAACTATTACAAACTCCCACTAAATCATGATATCCTCAAATATCACCACACCCATATGAGCGATGTGCTCATGAAAGACCTTGGGTGGCAATCCCTTAGTAAGAGGATCTGCTATCATGGAGTTTGTCCTAATGGTGGCAATCCCTTAGTAAGAGGATCTGCTATCATGGAGTTTGTCCTAATGTGCTCTATGGATATCTGTCCACTCTGTACCCTTTCTTTCACAACCAGGAACTTAATGTCAATATGTTTTGACTTAGTTGAGCTCCTGTTGTTATTGGAATACATTACTGCAGATTTATTATCACAATATAACTTTAGTGGTCTTTTCATATTTTTCACAATGCGCAGTCCCGTGACAAAATTTTACAGCCATATTCCCTGATTGGATGCCTCATAGCAAGCTACAAATTCTGCTGCCATAGTGGAGGAAGCTACAAGTGTTTGTTTGACACTTTTCCATGATATAGCTCCTCCTGCTAACATATAAATGTAGCCTGATGTAGACTTCCTGCTATCTTGGCATCCAGCAAAATCAGAGTCCGAATACCCAATGACCTCTAATTTCTCTGATTTTCTGTATGTGAGCATGTAATCTTTTATTTTTTGAAGATACCTCATAACCCTTTTGACTGCTATCCAATGATCCATATCAGGGTTGCTTAAGTATCTGCCTAACATCCCAACAATGTACGCAATATCCGGACGCGTACATACCTGAGCATACATTAGACTTCCTACAGCCGAAGCATCAGGAATCTTCTGCATTTCCTGAATTTCAAGGTTACTTTTAGGGCACTGATTGAGACTAAACTTGTCTCCTTTAGCAACAGGGGTATCTCCCGGTCTGCAATCTTGCATGCCAAACCTTTTAAGTACTTTATCGATATAGCTCTTTTGTGATAATCCAAGTATACCTCGAGAGCGATCTCGATGTATCTGGATTCCTAATATAAAAGAGGTGTCCCCAAGATCTTTCATCTCAAAATTCTTTGATAGAAATCTCTTGGTTTCGTGCAACATGCCTATATCATTAGTGGCAAGCAATATGTCATCGACATACAGAACCAGAAAAATATACTTAATCCCACTGAACTTGTGATATACACAGTCATCAATAATGTTCATCTCAAAACCGAACGAGATAATTATTCATTGAAACTTATGATACCATTAACGAGGAGCTTGCTTGAGTCCATAGATGGATTTCCTTAATTTACAAACCATATTTTTCGGGTCTCCTGACACAAAGTTTTCTGGTTGTACCATATAAATCATCTCATCAATGTTTCCATTGAGAAATGCAGTCTTAACATCCATCTGATGTAACTCAAGATCATAATGAGCAACAAGTGCCATGATTGTTCTGAAAGAGTCTTTCGATAAAACCGGAGAGAAAGTCTCTGTATAATCAATGCCTTCCTTTTGAGTATAGCCTTTAGCCACAAGACGTGCCTTATACCTCTCCACATTACCATTTGCATCCCGCTTGGTTTTAAAAATCCATTTACAACCAATTGGTTTTGCACCTTCTGGCAATGGGACAAGTTCCCAAACCTTATTGTCTTGCATAGACTTATACTCTTCATTCATGGCATCAATCCACTGTTGAGAGTTAGAACTTTTCATGGCCTGAGAGAAGTTGATTGGATCATCTTCTAACATTCCACTACTTTCCTCATGTTCTTGGAGAAATACAATATAATCATCCGGAATAGCATTTCTCCTTTCTCTCGTGGATCTCCTTAATGGCATTGGTTCTTGAGATTGTTGAGTTTGTTCTTCTGGAACAGGGAGTTGTTCAACATTATCATCTTGAGGTTTCGGATTTACTTCTTGAGCAACAACAAGTATAGGAACCTAAATATTGTCAAAAGTAACTGTATGGATTAGATCTGATGCCAATTCCTCCTCAAAAGCAATGTCTCTAACCTTATTTTTCCCCCAAACTCAACATCCTCAAAGAATGTTACTGTTCCCGTCTCAAAAATATTTTTTAGTGTGGGATCATAAAACTTATAGCCCCTAGAGCGTTCAGAGTACCCAATAAAGTAGATGCTAATTATTTTGGAGTCCAATTTTTTTTCATTTGGCCTATAAGGCCTTGCCTCAGCTGGACATCTCCAAATATGTAAGTGCTTTAAACTAGGCTTTCGACCAGTCCAAAGCTCATAAGGTGTTTTAGCAACTGCTTTACTTGGTACTCTATTCAGAATGTAAGCTGCTGTCTTTAGTGCTTCTCCCCAGAGTGACTCTGGTAAAGAAGAATGAGCAATCATGCTTCTTACCATATCCTTAAGAGTCTTGTTTCATCTTTCAGCTACATCATTCATGCTAGGTGAACCCGGCATGGTATACTGTGGGACGATACCGCATTCCTCTAGGTATCTAGCAAATGGTCCTGGACGTTGTTCACCTGAACCATCATATCTGCCGTAGTACTCACCACCACAATCAGATCTAACGATTTTAATTCTTCTGTTGAGTTGATTCTCAACTTCAGCGTTATAGGTTTTGAACATGTCCAGAGACTCAGATTTTTCATGAATGAGATATAGGTACCCATAACATAAGTAATAGTCTATGAATGATATAAAATATTGTTGACCATTCCAGGATGCCATAGGAAATGGTCCACAAATATCTGTATGTATCAGTTCTAAGACATCCGAAGATCTGTTGGCACATAATCTCTTAACTTTGGTCTGTTTTTCCTTGATACATTCAACACATACGTCGAAGTCCAAAAAATCAAGGGAATCCAAAATACCATCAGACACAAGACGCTCAACTCTACCTTTTGAGATATGACCTAAGCGTTATGAGAGGCAATTGTATCAAGCAAATATAGGTTGTCATAAGTACTCAAGTAATCGGTTCCCACAATATTTGAATTAAAAGATAAACTGAATTGACTGTTTCCAAATGAACAAGAATAACCTGATTTGTCCAATACAGAAACAGAAATTAAATTCCATCTAAAAGACAGAACTACAAAAGTATCTTTCAAATCCAAATAAGAACCAGTTCCTAACAGTAACCTAAAGCGCCCAATTGCTTCCACATCTACCGATTGACTGTCGCCCACAAAGATGTGTCTTTCAACATCACTTGGCTTTGGGTAGCTCAGGCAACCCTGCATAGAAACACTTATGTGAGTAGTAGCACCAGAGTCTAACCACCAAGTGTTTCTAGGTACTGAAGCTAAATTAATTTCAGAACAGACCAAAGTAAGGAACGTACCCTTATTAGCACGCCAGGCGTGATATTTGGTACAATCATTCTTTACGTGTCCAGGCTTATTACAGAAGAAACAACCCTGATTATCCTTATGTTGTTTCTTCTGAATTGGACCCTTAGCAGCTTCATTATCATTCTTCCTTTTCTTGCCGTTATCCTTAGAGGCATAGGCCAAATGAGCACTTTCTGTCTTATCTTGCTTCAACCTGTCTTCTTCTTGCACACAGTATGAAATGAGCTCATTTAGAGTCCATTTCTCTTTTTGACAGTTATAACTGACCTTAAACTGATTGAATTGTGGAGGAAGAGACAATAAAACCAGATGCACCAATAACTCATCACAAAGATCAAGTTTCAGTGCCTTAAGCTTTGAAGCAATATGAGACATTTCTATAATGTACTCCCTGATATTTCCTTTGCCCTTATACTTTATTGAAATCAAGCGAGCTAAAAGCGTGCTTGTTTCTACCTTATCGTTTTTCGCAAAACGTTTCTCAATTTCGGCAAGGAAATCTTTAGCCTTAGTAATCCCTTCGGATTCTATGCCTCTGAAGGCTTCCGGAACGCCGCGCTTAATGATCATAAGACTCATGCGATTTGAACGCTCCCACTTCTCATACTCCTTCTTTGCATTAGGAGTGCTATCCGTATTGAGAGGTTGGGGTTGTTCAATTCTTAATGTAAGGTCTAAATCCATGCAGCCAAGAATAATTAATATGTTCTCTTTCCAAACCTTGAAGTTTGTCCCATTTAGCATGAGAATTGAATTGATGTTAGCAGAAATTGTTACAGCAGATGTATTAGCTGAAATAAAACAAAAAATGCTCACATTAATAACCATAATTAATAATTAATAAAATTCAAATAATGGTAAATCCCATCCAAGATATCTGGCACAACATTAATATCAAGTCTTTGGACAGTAATATTAACTTATAAGTGATACATTGTTGCAACGATCAAACATTGATAATAACTCATGTCAAATAATAAAACTATCTTTGGATCGATTCATTATTCACATGTAAACCTTTTAATTATCACACGCTTATCATCGCAGATGTGTATACAGTCTAAATAAATATTA